CAGAAACAAAACGCAGGTACTAAGAAAAATAAAGTTTAAATTTAGTGAAATAAAATGGTCAAAATTCAAAAAGCAGTTTAAAAAATGAGAATTGTTTTTAGTATATGAAAATGAAAGAAAAATAGAGGGTTGAAAAATAAAAAAGTTAGGTTATTAGAGTTTACCTAAGAAGCAAAAAAGAAAAACAGAGGGCAGGGTTGCGTCGTCGGCAGCGGCAAGGGCAAGCAGGCGTCGGCGTCAGTGGCAGCGGCAAGGGCGAGCGGCGTCGGCTTCGTGGAGTGGGTGGTGTGTTTCATTTTCGTGGGTGGATATTAGTTTATCTATCATTTATTTGTTTTTTTTAATTACTAATGGGCATTGGGCCTTCTTATTTGGGCTCAGAAAACCCACAAAACCGTGTCCGATTTAAAAAAAATAAAAATAAATCAGACACGCCAAAATGCGTGTCTGATACATGTCCGGCACGTGTTCGGGCGTATCCGTGTCGGACACGTGTCCGGCACAGATACTTCGCCCAAAAATGTGTGTCCGTGTTTCCTAGATAGTAACGATTTCTGCGGAAGAGTTTGCTAAATTCCAACAGTATCAAGAGTCATTGATGGCATCATCCTCTAATCCAATTACTGTCATCGCTGATTGAGGTAATACCAATAAATGTCTTATTTCCTCCGCGTCAAAATGGGTCACTGACTCTGGTTCTACAAATCATATGTCAGGTAACCCCAATTTATTTGCTACCTTTTCACCATCTACATTTTTGCCTGATGTTACCATAACAGATGACACAATTTCTCCTGTTCTTGGCTCTGACACAGTTCATCTCTCTAAAACTCTTTCATTGACCTCTGTTTTAAATTTTTCACAATTTTTATTTAATTTGATCTATGCACTTACTCGTGATCTCAATTGTTTTGTCTTATTCTTTCCTGGTTATTGCTTATTTTAGGATCTTACAACGAAGAAGACTATTGGTAAAGGGCGTGAATCCGATGGTCTCTACATGTTTGATACACAAATACCTACAGCCACTGTTTGCACTCGAGTGCCAACTCCTTTCGAAGAACATTGTCGTTTGGGTCATCCATCTTTCTCCGTGTTAAAGAGACTCCGTCCTCAATTTCATAGTTTGCATTCTTTAAACTGTGAGTCATGTCAATTTGCTAAGTTTCATCGTCTCAGTTCCTATTCTAAAGTCAACATGAGCTAATGCTTTTTTTGAATTAGTCCATTATGATGTTCGGGGTCCTTGTCCTATTGAGTCCAAAAATGGATTTCGGTATTGTGTTACTTTTGTCTATAATTTCTCTCGTGTAACTTGGTTATATTTGTTGAAACATCGTTCTGAGTTACTTTCTCATTTTTGTAACTTCCATGTTGAAATTCGAACTTAATTTGGTGGCTCTCTTAAAGTTCTACGGAGTGATAATGCTAAAAAATATTTTTCTGGTGCTCTTGGCTCCTACTTAAGTGAACATGGTATTCTTCATTAATCCTCGTGTTTTGATACTCCGTCTCAAAATAGAGTTGTAGAAAGAAAAAATAGACATTTCCTGGAAATAGCAAGGGCCTTAAATGTTTCAAATGCATGTTTCAAAATACTTTTGGGCTGATGCTGTTTCGACGGCTTGCTTCTTGATTAATCGCATGCCTTCATCAGTTCTTAAGGGTGAAATACCTTATTGTACTCTGTGTCCTACGCAACCTTTATTTCCTATTAAACCTAAAATATTTGGTTGCACTTGTTTCGTTCGGGATGTTCGCCCCCAGCTCACCAAATTAGACCCTAAGTCATTGAAATACATTTTCATTGGTTACTCTCGTGTTCAAAAAGGGTATCGATGTTATTGTCCTGATCTCAATAGATATCTTGTCTCTCCTAATGTTACGTTCTTTGAAGATACTCATTTTTCATTGTCCTTGAGTACCAGTCAGGAGGAGTAGTCACAGGAAGATGATGACTTTCTTGTCTATTCCATTGTCTCTACTTCTACTGACGTGCTCTCTAGCGATACATCTACCTCTGTGCCTGATCCTTCTCTCCCACCTATTACTCAAGTTTATTCTCGACGGCAACCTCCTACGTTCTCATGCCCTATACCAACAGCTTCTTTGTCTGTGGATCTAGGAACGAGTGATGATCTTCCTATTGCTCTTCGGAAAGGTAAGTGTAAGTGTACTTATCCTGTTTCTTCTTTTGTTTCATATAACTATTTGTCCTCACCTATTTGTTCGTTTATTGCATTCCTTGAGTTTGTATCTGTTCCTAAAACTGTTCATGAAGCTTTGTCTCATCCTGATTGGCGGGCTGCTATGTTGGAGGAGATGTCTGCCTTAGATGACAATGGTACTTGGAATTTAGTATCTCTTCCCGCAGGAATCTATCGGTTGTAAATGGGTGTTTGCTGTTCAAGTTCATCCTGATGGATCAATTGTCCGTTTGAAAGCTCGCCTTGTTGCTAAAGGATATGCACCGACTTTGGGAATTAATTATTCTGATACTTTTTCTCCGGTTGTTAAATTGGCTTCTGTCAGGTTATTCATTTCCTTAGCATCCATTCACCATTGACCCTTGCATCAACTTGATATTAGAAATGCATTCCTCCATGGTGATCTTCAAGAAGAAGTGTATATAGAGCAACCACCAGATTTTGTTGCTCAAGGGGAGAATGGAAAGGTATGTCGCCGTAAATCCTTAGATAGGTTGAAACAAAGTCCGCGAGCATGGTTTGAAAAATTCAGTCAGGTGATTGAGAATTTTGGAATGAAGAAGAGTAAGTCAGATCATTTTGTTTTTTATAAACGATTTGAGTTTGGTGTTATCTTATTAGTTGTATATGTTGATGATATTGTGATTACTGGCAATGATACATCAGACATCCTATCACTCAAGTTTTTTCTTCATAGTCAATTTCATACTAAAGATTTAGGAATTTGAAATACTTCATAGGAATTGAGGTAATAAGGAGCAAGAAGGGGATCCTTTTGTCACAAAGAAAGTATGTACTTGACTTGTTAACTGAAACAGGATAATTGCTGCTAAGCCACGTAGTACTCCAATGATGCCTAATTTACAACTTACAAAGGAAGGGGAGTGGTTGAAAGATCCTGAGAAGTATAGGAGGTTAGAAAGGAAGTTGAATTACCTTACAGTTACTAGGCCTAACATAGCTTATCCAGTCAGTATTATGAGTTCTCTTACGACTGATCATTGGGCTGCATTGGAACATATTCTATGTTATTTGAAAGGTGCTCCTGGACGTGATTTGTAATATAAAGATCATGGTCATCTTAATATTGAATGTTTTTCAGATGCTGATTGGGCAGATTCTAAGAAAGATAGGAGATCAACCTCAGGATATTGTGTATTTGTTGGAGGTAATTTAGTTTCTTGGAAAAGTAAGAAACAAAATATGGTGTCACGTTCAGGTGTTGAATCAAAATATCGAGCCATGACATAGTCGGTGTGTGAATTAGTATGGATATATCAGCTTCTGACTGAATTGGGATTTGACATCACCACTCCAATGAACTTTGGTGTGATAATCAAGTAGCTCTCTATATTGCATCTAATCCAGTATTTCATGAACGAACCAAACACATCGAAGTTGATTGTCATTATGTATGTGAAAAAATACAGCAAAAATTGGTGGCTATAGGATATGTGAAGACTGAAGAGCAGTTAGGAGAAATCTTCACTAAAGCATTGACTAGAGCATGGATAGGTTATCTCTCTAATAAGTTGGGCATGATTAACATATATGCACCAACTTGAGGGGGAGTATTAGAGTATATATATTAGTATATTTTATATTCTTGTAATAATATGTAATAATTTATCCTTTACCTTCCTCCTCTAGGATTGGGTCAACCTTGTAATTTGTATATGTATATAGATTTCAGTAATGAGAATAATCTTTATCTGGTTCTCTCACACCTTAGTTTCTACAATTCTAAAGTTGGTGTAGTTTCTCTTATGTCGAATCTCTCTATTTTTTGATGTCCTTTGGTGTTTCAAGAAATTTGTTTTTTTTTATGGTCTTCCGTTTCTCCCGTGGTGGTCCCTGACTGGTTTTTGCTCCTCATTGTTGTTTTTATCTTTCTTGTTCATTTGGGTTTGTATTTCCCTTTTCTTTTTTAGTGTTCCCTATTTCTTTTCTCTCCCTTTTGGGAGATTGTATTCTTTGAACATTTTGTTCCTTTTCATTAATCAATGAGAAGTTGTAAACTTTAGCAATCTGCCAATATCTTTGTAACATAACATTAAGGGCAAGTTGAAACCGAGTATTTTGTATAATTTAGCCTAAATCCTAATTATAGCTAATGCAAGTTAGGACTTGAAACAGACAACAAAGAATATGCAAATCTTGCACTAATTATACACTTCATTGGCTTTTGTTTTTGTTTCTATTTTCTTGTATTCTTTGAAATACTGAATTTTCTTGTCATTTTCATCAGATATAAATTTATAATGCATCTCTTTGTTTCTTTGTGCACTTTTTTTATTTATTTATTTTTATATAATTTTTTCTCCATTTACAGGCTCAGTGTTCTGCATATGTTGAGTACTTGGGTCAGTTTACATCAGAACGATTTTCAGAGGACATTGCTGAGGTATGCCATGTGTTTTTGAGTGGAATTTTTTTTCTTCTAAAATTAGAAAGAGATATTACTCAAATTAATTCCATCATTTGACTGATTGAGGAAACTGTTTCACTTTTATGGTAGCAAAGAAGATATTTGAGATCCTTGAGACATTTAATTTTTGGCTTTAGTAGCTGATACTTGGATACTCATAATTATCAAATTTGCAGCTTATTCGCAGCCGTTTCCAATCAAAGGAAAAGCGCCTCTTTGATGATGTTTTAGGTATTGACACTTTAATATATGACAATTTAATCTTCAACGATGTTCTTGTCTCTTAATGAGTAATCGATGTCTATTGTATCTATTTCCAGCTGTGTTTGTTCTTCATCATCCTGAGCATGGGCATGCTATTATGCTTCCAATTATTTCTTGTATAATTGATGGTACCCTGGAATATAACAGAAACGGCCCTCCATTTGCCTCTTTTATATCCTTATTTTGCCCAGGCACAGAGGTACAATTTCTGATCGGAAGTATTTTGGACTTCTTTCATATATAAAATTTTAGTTAGACACTAAAATTATTTTATTCACTTTGCATCTTGCGTTGTATCTTTAGACAGCTGTATTTTCAGATATCTATTCTATAGTTTATGAATGTTGTGAAGATGCAGAATAAATACTCTTTTTTCCCCTTCAGAACGATTATTCTGAACAATGGGCCCTTGCATGTGGGGAGATATTGCGGATCCTAACTCATTACAATCGTCCAATATACAAGACGGAACAACAAAATAGTGAAACAGAAAGAAGCAATAGTGGCAGCCTTGCTACGACAAGTGACTCCAATGATGAGGAATTTGTTCAAATGCCTCTGCAACAAGAGAGGAAACCTATAAGAGCTTTGTCCCCTTGGATTACGGATATATTGCTTGCTGCACCATTGGGTATCAGAAGTGACTATTTCCGCTGGTAAGAACTTTATTTTGTTGAGCTTTAGGTGCTGTTTGGGAATGATATTTTTTTTTGGAAACACAAACACTTCTCATTAATGTATGAAAAGATATACTGAACAAAAGTAATACAACCAACTTCCTTGGGGAAGAATAAAGGAAAAAAACCTCTATCCTGCTCAACAATACAATTTTTGCAATTTACATCCCAACCCTTGCAAGAAAACCTCCCAGTTTGAATGGATTATCTTAAAAGAATAATTAGAAAAAGCCTTCCACAAAAAAACACCAAAAGTGTCAAATTATTGTACTTTAGGATATTGTTTATTCCTTTTATGGTTATTTGTAATCAGTTACTGATTTCTAGGAGATTGATAGGGTAGTTTCTATTTCTCCTTTTATGTCATATCTTTCCAAGTTAGTTATTTAGTGTAATGGTTATTTAGACCTATCTTGCATACCTTTTAAACACAATAAGAAATTACGGTGATTGCTTCCCTGGAGTAACAACCACCAAAGGAAAAGCTTCTTAGGAACTTTGAAGTTCCAAGCATACTCCACCAGAGGAGCTTTCATTTTAAGAGAACACAGAGAGATTAAGGAAAGTGGACCTCGAAGTAAAGGAACACAAAGCATCTAAAACCCAGCGGATTGTATCTGTACCGCTGCTAAGGGTGGCATAATTGAGCTTGCCTACTAAAAGCACCCAGCTATCAATCTCCCTGTCAAAAAGACATCTTCTGACCCCCAAATCCCAAGTGATGTTGGCCAAATTCCAACATTCTGCAATTATTTTTCTACGAAGATATAGAGAAAATATTGAGGAAAACCTGAGCCAGAGGTCTGCTATCAATCCAAGGGTCTTCCCAAAAATGGATTTTCTTTCCATCTCCCATCGAGAAGTTCACAAAGCTCAAAAAAATATCTGTCCTTCATAATTTGGGGCCAAAGGCTATTGCCTACTTTCTTCCTCAAACGGGAAGTAACCTAAGTATTAGCATCCTGCCCATAAGTACTAACCATAATTCCTCCAAAGGGTGAACTCTTTTTGCATAAATCTCCATTGACATTTGAGGAGAAGGGCCACATTTCTTTGCTTCAAGGACCCCACCCCAAGGCCAGGGATGAGTAGAGACACCCGTTCCTATTTTACCAGACTAGGTGAGGTCCATTAGAGCTACTGCTACCTCCTCGAATGAAGTGTCTAATTAGCTTACCAATATCATTGATAGTTCTCATGGAGCTCTTTGGGGGAGAAAAATAAATTGGACGAGGCTCATCAGCACTGATTGGACTAAGGTCAATCTTCCGCCCTTGAAAACCGTTAAGCTTCTCCATGTGAGAGTCCTAATAGAGATAGTTTGGGGATAGTATTAGTATATTAGTTATGGGCGCTATAGTAATTAGGTAGGGGTGAGTTGGTTATAAATAGAGGTAGTAGGGAGAGAAGGAGGATATCTTTTGGGAATAGTCTAATGTGAGGAACTTGGCATAGTTCTTGGGAGAGATATAGCCCTCTCAGAAGGCTATTGATATTGTAACGTCTCTTTGATATTGCAATATAGTTATACTATCACCAAAAAGTTGCCTATTCCAATGAGAATGCCGATTGATCAAAATCATAGATTTTGTGTAGCTGAAGAGAGTCCTCTAGTAAATAAGGAAACTGACCGGAGGTAAGTTGGAAATTAATATTTTTCTCTTATACAAGACCAGATATTGCATATGCTGTAGGAGTGGGAAGTCAATTTATGCATAATCTAGAAGAAGTTCACCTTCAAGCAATGTACCAGACACTTCACTATTTGAAGAATTCCATTGGGAGAGGATTATTGTTTAAGAAAGGCGAGAAACTCAATCTAGAAGTTTATACAGATGCAGATTTTGCAGAATCGATAGACGATAGGAAATCAACTTTTGGCTATTGTACTTTCTTAGGTGGAAACTTAGTCACATGGAGAAGTAAAAAACAAAATGTAGTTGCAAGATTTAGAGTGATGACATTGGCATTTGTGAATTGTTCTAGATAAAAATTATTTTATAAGATTTGAAGATTCTATGGAAAGAACCTATAAAACTATACTGTGATAATAAGTTGGCCATCAGTATCGCACATAATCCACATGATAGAACCAAGCACGTTAAAGTTGATAGACACTTCATAAAAGAGAAGTTAGGAAACGGCCTCATATTTACTCCATTTGTGCCAACAAATAATCAAATAGCGGATATCCTTACAAAAAGATTAAATAACAACAACTTTGAGCATTTGGTTAACAAGCTGGGAATGAAGAATATTCATTCACTAACTCGAGGGGGTGTTAAATTATATTCTCTTTTATTTTTCTATTGCATTTGAGTTTTAATAGATTAGGGTTTCCTTGTCTAATAGCTGAGTGTTTCCTTATCCTAATAAGCAATGGTTTCTTTTTCATTTTTTAGTATTTTATATAGCTTTATACCCTTTTATCAACACTTTAAAAGATAAGCAAAGAAGAATTATTTTTTCTTTTGACACTTTTGATTATTTTTAGGACGCAATCCTATTGTATGTCAATTACATACTATTCAAGATTTCATTAATAACCTTGGATTTTTTTATTTTTTTTTACTGATTGCACTTACATTCTTAATAAGGGCTAGGTAAGTATGCTTGATCTCTCTCCTATCTCTCTCCCTCTCTTCCTAGTTCTTCGTTCGGTGAATCTCTACTGAGGTTTCTAGCATTTTCTTAACTGCTTTAAGGAAATTTCTTTGTTATCTGAAGTATGGAAGTTAGTAGTTGCCGTAGAGGATAACTTTTTCTGCATTTGGGCCGACAATGGTATGTTCATGTTAGAAGATGTGGCAAGAAAAGTCTTGGTTCCTTTGCATCAATCTCAGTTTTTTGGTTCAAGAACCATATGGCCAAGGTCAATCAAGTACCGATTCATGCTCAGTTTTATTATCAGATTTGTGATGATCTTGGTTAATGCCGTATACAAAAATTTAAAATAAATCAATCCCGGTGCTTAAAGTTGGTGGTCTGGCCTTCTACGGGTTGTGGAAAGAATGTCTAATTTTTGTCGACTGGGAGAAGATGGGGTGGAAGGCTTTTTGGTCTATGTTGAAGACCTCAGTAAGAACAGAAGCTCAGGCTACGAAGTTGGCGAAGAACATTCACCCTAGGACGGAATGTAGAGGTAAGGAGTCGGAGAGTTTGAAGGATCGGCTTCTGAGAAAGTTCGGCTCCAGGAAGATGATGGACCACTGAAAAGATTACGGTCTTTAAGGAGGTGGTGTTGGGAGCAAGAAGTTCTTCGGAACTCGGAGGGCTTCAGGTACCAAACTTATTCTCATACTTCTTATTAAGGATAAATAAACCACCACTCAACCCAAAAACTTAAGCTGATGTGTTGGGTAAATTTAATTAATATATTGGGTATCTCAACACTCCCCCTCACTTGTGGGCTTAGATAATTGCACAAGGTCCAACAAGTGGAAATCATTATAAACAGGGAAGAAACAACAATACAGGGGTTCGAATATAGGACTTCCTGCTCTGATACCGTGTTAAGCATGAATAAACCACCACTCAACCCAAAAGCTTAAGCTGATGGGTTGGGTAAATTTAATTCATATATTGGGTATCTCAACACTTCTAATAGTCACCAATGGGTCAGAAAGGCTGGGGAACTCCAGGAAATGTGTTGGGGTAAGTCGATGGTTGTCAATAGAAGTTGTGCTCACGACAATTGGAAAGACATTTCCCTTGCTGTACAGAAATACTTCTCGAAGAAATGTAGAATTAACCCTTTTATGGTTCATAAAGGATTACTTAATTTGAAGATGGTAAGTTGCTAAGACAGAAGGAACTAACATGCTGCTGGAAGAAAATTGGGGTCTTCTCCGTAAAATTGTATGTGGCATTTTGAAAAGCATAGTAGGAATGACATGGTGACTGGGTATGGAGGATGAATCAAAATCCTTGATTACCACTGATGTACTGGAAAAAATGCACATTTCAAGCTCTGGTAAACATGGCAGAGGGTTGGAAAATATCTCTGCTAAAACTCTAAACCTTTTAGCTCTACGGAAGCGTTTATCCAGGTTAAAAAGAATCGTTGTAGTTTTCTGCTGGCATCAATAGAAATCAGGGTTGCTAAATTAGGAGCCTATGATGTCCTGATCGTTGGCTCAAGGGTCTCTTATTTTAACAACTATAGCTTTAATAAGTAGCTCTCTCTTCTCTCTCCTCCCTTTCCGCCTTCCTCTCCCCTTCCTTCTTCCTCCCTTAGCCCCTTCCATTATCCTCTCCGGTGGACGTGTTTAATGGTGTTCTGAAGCAAAGCTCAATGGAAGTCGGCAGTTGCCGTATTGAAGGGAAGTACTTCTGTACTTGGGCGGAAAGTGAATATATTTGGATTGAGGATGTTTACTGCTTCATCCTTCACAATTTTTATGGTTTGAAAGTCATATGGTGGTGATAGTTCAGAAATCGGTTTCGGCCTATTATTCTTTTGAGGATCGTTATGCATACGGAACCTGTCTTTTTTTTATAGATAAGAAACAACTTTGTATTGATCAACAGAAAGGTACAGCCTAAAGGTTGGGTAGAGATTACCCCACCAAAAACTAAACAACCAAGAATAGAAGACTTATCTTCAAACACGCGAGAATTCATTTCAAGCCAAATATTCCAAAGTAGAGCTCTTGAAGCACATCTCCAAACAAAAGTGGTCTTCTTAGGGAGGGTCCACCCAAATAGGACCTCGTCCATCTTGTCATCAATCTTTTTTGGAAAGCAGATAGAAATATCAAAAGAATCTAAGAGGAAACGCCAACCTTGGTCACAAAAGGGCAGTGCAGAAACATATGGTCTAAGTTTTCACTGTGCATCAAACAAAAGGAACAGACCGATGGGGATAACACCCAGTTTTTGCATTTTCTCTGTAGCTTCTCATGAGTGTTAAGACTTCTATGAGCAAGAGACCAAAGAAAGACTTTGATCTTCTTTGGGACCTTAAACTTCCATATAGC